CACAATGAGACAAAGGGTCTGGAACAGTGGCCTTCATCTACACGGATAACACAACTCTGAACGATAGCTTAGGTATGTAATGAACTGTTGTCCACAGATGACAAGTTTATATACAGTAATAAAAAATGTCCACTACCTGTCTAACTTGCGGTCTTCCAAGCAATTGTGATGCATCTCTTTGTTTCGAAAGAGAACAAACAGCGAGCTGCGTGAGCTGATGACAGAGTGTAAGTACTTTGGGCTTATTGGGGATGAGAAACCATCTTTGGAGCTACATGTTGTTATTTTCTTGAGAGCACTCATGATTAATTCTTACCTGTGTAATCTGTAAATACAGACAAGGTCGATCGCCTTTAACTTCAGGCAATAAATTAAATAAAGGTCATAACATGATCCATTTCTCATATAACTTTAATTAAGTTAATTGTTTTCTACATCTTGCTAGTATTGGGTTGGAACTCCTTTTGCAAGCAGAACTGCCTCAATGAAGACAGTTTGAAATGATCTGAGCTTTGTGACATTCTGTGATGTGGTCATAAAGGCATGGAGATGATCAACAACAACAACAACAACAACACTCAGTTAGGCTGTGCTTGCGCTTGGTACTAAGGAACCCACAGTGCACCAAGAAAATATTTCCAACACTATTAATACCATTGATATAAGACAGGAGGGATTCATGCCTTCATGTTGTTTATCATAATCATGATCATTAATATGCAAATTGTCACGATGATTGATCATTCACCATTGATCAATGGCCACGAGAGCATCCTTACCTGAATGATTGAGCATGCGTCAAGACGATTGTCTGTTAATGGGAGGCACCACTTTCTTATGTGCATTGCTCCATCTGCTGGCTGTACCAAGTATTGCAAAAGTCAGATTTGGAGCTCATTTTGACTGTTAATTTGTGAAATAACTACAAACATATGCCAGGAAATAAATGGCTCATGTTTACAGCCTTCTCATTTGTCACAGGAATACAAGAGGAAATATTAAATTAAAGCGTTTTCTATCTCTTTTATCTTTGTGTGTGCTTTTTCAAGCAAATACAAAGAAAAAGAGTTGTTGAGCGTGTCTGTAACTCCTGTGCTCAATCTACCTTTATTCAGAGAAGGATAATTGCTAATGTATGCTGATGAAACAGTGAAACACGGGGAAGTAAAAATATATAAAGATGCACTACTGTGCAAAGGTTCAGGTAGCTTTAGTTCTTATCCATCACATGGAGGCCCCCTGAACTTACTCTGCATCCTAACAGTCATAAAGACCCATCTTTAGATTTGAGTCCAGCAGACCGTTTACCTTTACAAAGTAAAGCGTGTTATCACAGCAATATAATTGGATACTAACCATCAGATATGATGACAAAGGCAGAAGATTTTATCAAATCGAGACATGAAAATAGCAAAAAGCATGAAAAGTGCCAGGGGAAGGAGGACAGGGGGAAGAGGAGAGGGAGGAGGAAGCAGAGGAGGAGAAGGAGGGTGCAGGAGAGGGAAGGAGGGGAAAAGAAGAGAAGACAAAAGATTCATAAAACTAAAGCAGTTGTGGACGACAGCAAAAGTTGTGAGTACAAGTTATGTTTCTTTTTCCACCTGATTTGTACACATTCTGTAGGAATTACACAGAAGAACATCTGCAGACTCAGGATAACTCACAGCCAAAGACATTAACTGGGTGATACATCCTTCTGATTAGATGTAAACACAAGTTAGGAGGCGAATGCCTGACTAGTTAACTAACTTAGTCAAAAAGGCTTTGTAGATGAGTGAAGGGTTGCATGCGAAGTTCAGCAGACATAAAGAGTGAAAAAACTCTCACAAACGAGCCAACAGAGACAAACAAGCAGCTAAAGCAGAAAAATGCAGTGTTTTCAACTGAGTGATTGCAAATGTGTGACTCTGGGATGTATCGCTGCTGAAAGGACAAGATGTGGAAAAAAAACCCCACCATCGAGTTCAGATTGGCTGGCGATGATTGTACAGTTGGAAAGCGGCGATATGTTCTCTGAAAATAAAGCTGGGAAAGAATGTGAGAGCGTAACAGAGGAGGGGTGGAGGGGTCCTCAAATAGGCCACACACAAAAAACACATTCTTTTGCGAGAATTCACATCTTGGACTCCAAAGTTACTGTGACACATCAGGAGAGGAATGGTGCAGGGCGGGAGATGAGAGAGGGAAGGGGGGGGGGAAAGGAGGAAGGAAATCAGGCATCACTTATCTGTTTACAAGGAGTCCAATAAATACTAGAATAAATAAATGTAGGAAAAATGACATCAGAGGCTCTTGTGTGACACTGTGCTACACATCTGTGTTTTCAGCTGATGTAAAACTCTAAGGAAAACATTACCCTGAGCTGAAATGTTGTTAGCATTTATGTAACGGGATTAAAGGAAACATAAACAGTTAAGGAATTAGAAAAAAAATCATAGTGAGGATATTGAGCAGTTCCACTCTGTGAAATCATCCCGACTCTTTTCCTCTTCGGTTTCCTGCAGCTCGTAAAGTTCACCCCTTACAAGCTGAAGGAATGGGCAGCCTCCCAGTGGTCCTGCTCCTCTGCAGTTTCCAGGGTAACGTTACCAAACAGGACACACAAATCAACTTGTTTAATTATGGTTGAGTCGCTGTGTGTTTGCTTTTATGCTGCAAACCTCTCCCCTCATGCGGTTTCTGTTCCACAGCACTCACGGTTATAGCCCAAACTCAGCCAACTGGTAAAGCCCTTTTACTTTTGATAATGATGACAGACGTCTGCTACTCTTTGAGTTTTTCTCATTTATTCTTTTTCTTTTCTTTCCTCACTTCTAGAAGCACCTGGGAACGCCATACCAACCGGTGAGTATCTCCACTTTTAGGACTTTTGTGATTTACACAATATCAACATGACATGTGTCTCCGCTGTTATCTCTCTGCAGAATGTAGGGAGGAGACGTATCCTTGCACCAGGATGTACTCAGTTCACAAGCCCATCAAGAGATGTATTGGTAGTCTTTGTCTCTACAGGTGATCTGCAAATCCTCTACAACAACACACTTTTAATTAGTCTTTTTTCCAGAAAAAGGACTTACTTATTTTTAAAAACTGAGCAGTAAAGGTCTTACTTTTGCTTCAGTGTTTTAACGACAGGTGGTGAAAGAAAACAAGGAAATGGTCTTGAGCAACAGTTCTCCAGGCTTTTCTTTGGACATTTTGGCTGTTTTTTCACACATTTTCAGTCCAGTCCTTGCACCTGATCATTTTTAGAGGACTTTTATTTTTTGGTTGTTAAGCCACTTAACGCCGACCCATGAGTCATTCAATCATAAAAAGGCACCTGACTCAAGGGATGAACCACTATTGTGTCTAAACATAACAGACAGCTCAGCAAAGCAGCTTTAAATTGCATCTTTAGTCACTTTGTTACCAGCAGCCTGTCACGAAAACACATAATTTGTTGCCATTTCTGTAATTTAATCTATGCCAAAGATAACATCGTTTGATGGGCATAAAATAGTATTTTTGCACCGACAGGGTGATTCCCAAAGAGGTATTCCCTGAAGATGACAGCTTCATCTTTGCATCAGTACAAGTAGTAAAGAGCTTTGAATGTCCTTCAAGAAGCCTGGAAAACTACTACTGAAGACTACTTAAATGATATGTTAACAGACACAGCTAGAAGTATAAAGTACTACAAATAGCGTCCTTAATTATTAGTACAATATTTGTGTAACAGTATTGAGCTCACAAGACTTTCATTACTGAACAGAGTTACCCTGTCAGCCTGTATCAGTATATCCATCCTCATAATGTTCATGTTTTACCCTGGTGCTCTCGCAGCCTCCCTCGTGTTTATGTGATCAACAAAGAGATCTGTGTGAGGACAGTGTGCCGTGAGGATGAGTATCTGAAAGGTGAATTAGTCTTAATGTATACACAGGTGACAAATTAAAGGAACAGACAACACTGGAGCAGCTTCATTGCTCCTTGGCAGTGATTCTCTAAAACAAATAACCAAAAAAATATAATTTGTTCCCTCAGTTGATGATGCCAAAGAGTGCAGTTTAACAAGTTGGTACATTCATCAGCTTGATTTTGAGGGTAAAAACCAAATAAATCGCCAATAATAATAATAATATATTTGCTGATGCTGTAACGCTCACTTTTATTTTATTAAAATTAAACTTGGATCTTTTGTTTAATAGATGAAGAATGATAAAAATGACAGCAGGTATGAACCACACCACAGCAGGTCAGAGCCACAGGATCCCTCCACTGCAGGGCTCAGGTTTCTCCTTTCATTTGTCACCTGTCTGTATAAAGGCACAGTGATCTTACAGTCCATGAAAATATGCATACAAATAAATAACCCTTTTTTCCCCTTTCTTTACATTACAGCTGAATTATGCAGAGAGTTGTCTGGGTGGCCCAGACGTATCCAGAGGTCATCCAATAGCAAACGTTGTCGCAATCGTCGTGGCAACCCCCAAACCTGGGCAAACAAAGCCTGATCTTGCCTAGAATGGGCCCGTGACCACCGGGTGACGATGGTGCGACCCATGGGCATCGTCATCGAAAACAGCCAATAAAAACACCATAAATCCGCTGCGCCACACCTGAGGGTCTCTTTCCTTTTCTTTCACGCGAGCACACACACACACGTGTGCTGAGTCATATCTACATATGTTTATGTATTCGTCCTTTTACTGTGCGAGTATTTCATTTCGTCCGTGTGTATTGGACACAGGTCATGTCTTCCATGGTTTACGATCCATTTGAGGTACTGCAGTAATGGGCCTATAGGAGCACTGAGTCACTTAATCGTATAAGAAACAAAGTAAAACAAAGACCCACTCTGTTGTGGAGTGTAAGGTACACACTGACAGTTCAGTATTATGTGCACTATTGTAACCAATAAAATATAATGGAAGTTGTTCACGAGATTATTTATTTTTTTACTACTCAATTTAAAGAAGAAGAAAAAAAACAACAACCACAAAAGAAAGTTATGGCCATTAAGTGTTTTCTTTATAGTTTTCTTTGCATATTCATTTGCACACACACTTACGGTTTGAATAACAGGTAACATCTGGGAGAAATAATTTAGACAATAAACAAACACTGACAAGCATCCTTGGGGCTTTACACTCACACACACTCTGTTCTCTGATCCATTATCACACCACTTTCCACTGCACATCTGTTACAACACATGTGCGTGTGATATCATTTTTTACATAATCCATCTCTGGGTACACAACAATATCACAACAAAACACTGCATCAAACACGGACTATCTTATTTCCACGTTGCATTTGTCTGCATCACAATACCGCTGATAGCTTAACACCTTGATATGGAACTGGAGTTCACATTTAACTCATCTGTACAGCACAACACGCTGTGCTTGAGCACGACCCGATCGCCCTTCTCATAAACACTTACGGAGACAGAAACACAGAGCGATTCACTGACGAGGAGAGAGGCCGTGACCTAAATGACTCACCAGTCACAACTTTAACAGCTGTGCTGAGTGAAGATGACATAACACGGACTAAATCATCTCTGCTTCCCCCCTGAGGCAAAGATAAAAGCACTTGATGCCTCTCCTTCTTTTGCTTACACCCTCTCCCATCCAGCATTCCTGCTTCCAAGTGTCCTGATTTATGGTTAAAACAATGCGCGCGGCTCCCGCGGCCCGTCCCCGGTGGAATATGTGTTTGACAGCTGCAGAACCGCAAGAGCCGAGCAGAGAGTGCTAAAGAGCACGGCCGCTCTGTAAATCAGCTGCGACTTAACAGGAGTCTTTCAAGTAAAATCCTTATGCGGTAAACGTTGCAATAATCTGAAGCTAGCATGAGCCAATCATGGCGTTCACTGCGGATTTCATGAATTACTAACTACACAGACAGATGCGACCGTCAGTCAGTGCATATAATCAGTCCCGCTGCTGGAGACTTGGAGAAACAGGACGTAGACCAACAACAATAATTACAAACCACTTACAATATATGTATATACACATTTAAAATAAATATTCTCTGTACATTTAAGTCATTCATGAACATTTCATTAGATTTCAGTAGATCATTAGATGTTGATGACAAGATTATGCGTCCCTTGATATTCCTATTGTGTATCATTAGCAAATAAAACACTGTAAGAACGGGAAAATTGGCGGAATAAACTGTTACAGGGCGAATCTAGACAAATACAGAGTCCAAGCAGATGGAGTGAATGATGGGATGCAGAGCCTGCTGAATATGTCAAGTTGGCCCGCAGCTGTAGCTGTAAGCGTAATTAAGACGGTGCTGTGGGGTCAGAACAAAGTAGGAGGAATTCAAGAGAAATAAAACTACGACAGGGGCTTACCCTGCTTGGCAGGGAGAGATACGGGACCCCGTAATCGGGAAAAGAAAGTTGCAAAAAGTGCTGCATAAATTTACAGAGAAAAGGGAGAAAAAAACAGGGGGACTCTCTCCTCACTTCGGGGATGCAGAATCAAAGTCTCCCCACAGGTCAGAGCTGCCTGTCGAGGTGGGGTTGGGTGGAGCCACAGAGTTGGAGTTACTGGAGTCCAGGTCTAGCAAACACCCTGGCAGTTTGAAATCAAAGAAAAAGAGAGACGCACATCTGAAACTTTAATACACGTCATATGTTATAATCTGCAAACAAATTGTCTTTTTGAGGGATTAAAAAAGTTATCTGAATGTCAATACAAGGATTTCTCAAATGATACATCAGCTCTAAGCAATCGATAAAAATATCATTTCACCAGATAACAAAAAAATATTGTCCTACAACTTTTACTTACAGTGGTATTCGCACTATTTTCCAGTTTACCCTGGTGGTATCAGTGATGCACACGGTTTCAGTTTTATGCACTGAGCTTTCTAGATCTCGACCTCTGAAACTTCTGCCGCCACCCAAACACAATGGTGGTAAAGTATTGAAAATTTCCACTTGAAACTCAAAACTAGTGAGTCTTTTCCCACATTTACTCTGGACAAACCACACACACCGCGCCACTAACAGGACAATGATTTCAGATAGACAAGCTTTTGGAATGTTTTTCAGTGCTTTAAACACACATTCACCTCTGCTCTATACAGATGGCGGAGGAAATCTTACACAGGCATCTACAAATCTTAATACACGAAACCGAAACCGCGCGCATGATTAGATACCACTAGAAGAGTGTAGAAAACCATGACACAGTTTAGCTCTGTAAACATCTATGCTACAGAAGCTACAGGAAACACTATTTTCTAAATGAAAGAGATTTTAAAATATATGTGTCATAGTTTTGGATAATAGACCTGCGCAACACTGTACTCACTACATCAACTATGAAGACTGACTTGTGCTTCAATGGAAACAGACAAGCTCAAGGAACTAATCTTCAACACCAAAAAAATAAGCCCTTCCTCTGATTCATTTCTGGAAGCATTTTTTTTTTCAGTTTGACTTCTGCTTTAAGCAGGTCAGATCCCCCATTGTAAATGAAAAAGCAGCGCCCAAACTCGAAGCATTAATGGAGTAATAAGGTTCACCTTCATTTGCACTATAAATCAAAAAAACTGCTTCTGACATAAATTAAAAACTGGGCTCAACCAGCAAAGTGCACAGATTCACGACCTTCACATTAACCCCTGAAATACACCTGCCGCTTGTCTGTGAGACTGTGTCTCGAGTGCGGTTTTCTGTTGCCTTTAGCACGGCTTCAAATCACAACAGGAGAGTTTCAGAAAACTGTGCATGCGGTCTATTATTTTGAAAAGTGGCCAGATTTCTATACCTGACTTCCTGCCATCCTTATTGGCTCTGTGCAGCTTGACAGTCGTTCTATAAAAAAACTGACCCGATGCTATTTTAAGTATCGCAGACCAGAGCTGCTGCGCTGCACCTGGTGGAATTGCAAGCATCATTTTGAGCGTAGTAGTGACACAGCATTAAGTCAAATGTAAGCGTTGAAGAAGCCTATGCGGTGTTTAAAAAAAATTCACAACTTGAAACTCTTTAGGACTGTGCACAGATTTGTCAAGTTATAAAACTGAAACTGAACAGCATTTCATTTCAACCGGGATGTTCTACCTTGAGTAGAACTTTTAACCAGCTCCTTAAAGCCCTACTTTTCTACAGAGTAACCGCATCAGTAATTTCCATCCACATATGCTCCTCCTGTCATATGGAGTATAGCCAGCGACTCATGTGACTCATTTGTTTTACTTTTGGGCTGCACATCACCAGCTGCTAGCATCTCCACCTTTGCAGCCTTCTTGAACTCAACGATCTGTTTTTGCCTCGAGTGGTGAAATAAGTTTGTTGCTTCCATTGTGCTGTGTTTGGAGTTCAGTGAAGTAGCTCCCTCTTTTACTAAATCATCATCGGAAGCTGACATGCGACTCTCGCAGTCAGACATGCCTGGGCTTGTTTTCTTATTGTGCATGCTAGGGAATGTAAACACATGGCGCCGCTCTATCGCTGATATCACGATACGACGCTTTTAGATCACGTAAAAATTTATTCCGGTATCATACTGGACGATATGATATACCGCAGCCCAAGTTCTGAATTCTCCTTTATATCTTTTCTTAACCTCATAACATTGTAAATTGAGGTGAAGATTAAACATGGGGTTGTTGTTGGACTGTTACATACCAGAGTCACTTCCTCCTGCTGATGGTTGTGTGTTATGATTTGTTGATCTGGAAGAAGGGGGTGGAGCCAGTTTTCCCCCAGGGGGAGGTGGAAGGAGCCCAAAGCCGCCTGAACTCTGTGGACGAGACCTGTCCTTCTTTTTCGATTGCTAGATAAGATATAGATGGAAGGAAACAAAATCTGTGCATGAATGAGGGTATATCCAGTATGATTGATGCTTTTTTAAACCTAGCAGTAAATATATGCGATGCAATGCATTTGAGCTTGACAGAGACATATTTGTACAGCTTTGAAAAAGGCCTGAACACCACACTAGTACTATGAAACTCTATGAAAATAAATAATACCCCAATGTTCAGAGTAATGGTCTGTCCTTCTTTGAAGCCCAGGTCCAGCTTTGGAGTGGAGTCTGGAGCCTGAGCCTGCTTGCTAAATTCAGTTTCCTGTTTCACCCACCTGTAGAAAGCAAGGGAGGAAAGCAGTGATACAAAAATGTATCTTAGGAAACACTAAAGGAAAAAAATACACTGACAACTCAATTAGTCATGATTAGAGCTGCGTTCACAGAGCAGCTTCATACTTAAAGTGGTCCTGAAGTGCGACATTGAAGTCGAAGGCATCGCTTCGGTCTCCAAACCCAATGCCTATGAATGCAGTGCGGCCTTTGAGGAAAAAACACAAAGACAACAATCAAGTTACAGCAGTAATAACAAACAAAATAAACCCACAGGTTTCTCAGAATGACCTGCACACCGTAGCACAAACTGGCTGAAAATGTGCTGTACAGAAACAGAACTTCTGTAATGAACACTGTCCCTGCATTACTTTAAAAATGAAGACCTTTAAAATAAAAATCAGGACTGAACAAAATTTGAATTATGTAATAAAGTTTTGTCTTTGCGAAACAAATTATGGATACAGCTACTCCACAGTTCAGTAATCTCTAAAACAGACAGTATGTGATTCTATAAAAAAAATATTTTAAAGGCTTTAAAAAAATACCCAACATTCTTTAATTTAAATTTATTAGACTTTAAAAAAAAAAAACCACATCAATCCTGATAATTTCGTTGTATCCTGTTCAAACACATTTTTTTTCAATATTTTATGGCTTAGCAATAATTGTTTTACCCACCGTTGTCGTCCATGATGCGCAGCACAAAGTAACGGCTTGAGTCGCTAACTGTTTCCACTGCAACTCCAGGATACTCGTCCACTGGTGCTTGGGCAAAAAGCTCCCCTGAAAAGATATGTGTTCGTTATCAGCTTGGCAAAACAGTCTGAAGGTTTGATGGAAAATGCCACGAGGTAAAGGACAGATGTGAAGGAGAATACCGTAATTAAATAAGTGTGGAGCTGGTGAGAATCTGACTGCACTCACAAAAGTCTCTTAAACAATGTGACGATGACATCATTGATGTCGACTGTGTTGAAACTACAGGGCCCTGAAGATGGACTACAAAAAGCTTATTTTAGATACTCACCTATAGCTTTGTATGTTGCAATATGTTTCAGGTGGTTTTAAATAAACAGGAATGTATAGCCTATAAAGTCAGTAAAAATCCCAGTCATACTCAGATTAGTTGGTCATCATGTCCTCACTTACTTTAATAAAGGTTTATGTGATTCAGGTCAGATGAATTCATGATAATCTTAAAGGCAGCAACACAACAACGGACATATAGTCCTATGCAAACATCCTGAGTATCCCCTCATCATTTCTTTATATTATCAAAATCTGATGGTACTTCTTTGTTTTCATAATTCAGTCGATTTGGACAAGTTCACCAACATCATTGGCTGAAATGCAGCCCCAAACCATGGCAGAGTCTTCTACACGTTTTGGAGATGGCTGTTGTACCTCCTCCGTACATACTGATGACTTGAACTGCAAATTTCAGGTCTTTGCTGTAGTTTTTCCTCTTAAGGACAAGGCTTTCTGTTCATCTGCTTTAGACAGTGTCTTACACCTCCCACTTTTTCTTTTTTCCTCTACTCTCATCCAGTTTACTCATTTTTTAAGGATACACTACACACCATGCTGACATAGGCCAAATTTTTGGGAATCACCTTGCTGGTACAAAAATACTATTTTGTGCTCTCCAACGGTGTTATTTTTGGCATTTACCGTAGATTTAACTAAAGACATGGGAACAAATTATGTGTTTTTGTGACAAAGTGCCTAAAGGTACAAATTAAACTTGGTTCTTTCCTAAGTGTTATGTGTAGACACAACACTGGTTTGTCACTTGAGTCAGGTGTCTTTTTTTATGCTTGAATGAGTCACAGGTCAATGTTAAGCAGCTTAACAAACAAACAGAAAAAAAACATTTCTCTGAAAATGGTCAGGTACAGGGACTGGACCGAAAATGAACCAAAAAGCAGTCAATGTCCATAAAAAACAAAAAAACAACAACAACAACTTTTGCATGGTACAATAACTTATTCAAGCTCAATTACTGTAAACCTTAAACTCACTTTGGTCATTTTAATACAGCTATGAATCTCTGGCTCTCTTTCACATTGTGTCTTCTCCCCATCACCCCCAGTTGGTCGCAGCAGATGGCTGCTCCAACCTGGGCCTGGTTTCTTCCAGCTAAAAGGGAGTTTTTCCTTCCCACTGTCACCAAATCTTTGCTCAAAAGGGGTTAGTTGATTGGTGGGATTTACACTGCATTATTGTAGGTACTTTACCTTATAATATAAAGCACCTTGAGGTGTTTGTTCTTGTGTTTTAGGGGTAAATAAATAAAATTGAATTGAATAATCTTGATTTTCTAAATGATTTACAGCAGTTCTGTGTCCACATTTAATGGCTGCTATTCCATGTTGAAAACATATCAGCAGGTTATGTTAATTCAAATTTACACGATCTGCATCACCTATTTGTTATTCTGATTGTTCTGCAGGACATTACTTGTATCCTATGCTGAAGGAGGTAGTAAATAAACCACCTTTCTTTAGGATTTAAAGAATCAGACCAGAACTTATTATTGTTGCCATGTTACGTGAATGGAAAACAAAAGGTGTATTTTACAGAAAACAAGGACATTAAGTTTCTAAAAAATGCACTGATGCAGCCTCCAGACTGCTCACTCGGCTGCAGGCTGGGTCACCTTGGAATCGATGAGTAACAGAGGGGCAGGGTGACAAACAGGAGACTATACAGTGAAGTGATTTACAGCAGCGACAGCCCGGTAAACAATGGCGCTGCCCTGTCTGCTCGTCTCTCACCAGAGACTTTGTCTTCCAATTTCACGTAGGCTACTTTGCCCCGGGCCGTCACACGCATGCGTCCCGTCCAGTCAGGAGCATCCAGCTTCCAATCAGCAGCCCTAAGACACGCACACACACACAGAGGTAGATGTTGTGATGTAGGTGAATTGTTGACAGTTTACTCAGACTGATGTTGACAGAGGAGGTGAATAAGCAAGACACAGGAAAGTTACTGTTATGATTTGTCATACTCAGACACACTCATTTTCTACGTGTGCAAAACGTGACTAAGACATTTCACTGAGACATGGGGATGAAATATTACATCATCACCCTTACTCACAATACATATGGTCAGCGGTTAACCAATCCTGTGGCTCATGGGACCTGAGGCACATGCTACTGTTTGGTTGGTGTAATGTCCAGTCAGAAGCAGCTGCAGCAGGTCATGCTGAAGGACCAGCCAATGAAAAATGGGGTAAACAAACCAATATCGACCTCTTTATAACATATGCATTATCTCCACAGTAAAGACATAACAATGGATTGAGGTGACCACATTGACTATGAGCCAGGACATCCCATGTTTAACCCCTTGACATGGAGCAACATCAAACAATGCTAAAGCGTCCTTGAGGAGGACTCTAGCCTCTCTGCAGCCTCAGGGATGCTCTTCTGTTTGTACTTAAACGACAAACTAGCGAAATTAGGACGTGTAGCACGCTGTTCTCAGCTGATAGCTGATTTTAAGTGCCAGATCTCTCCTGATGTGTCACAGGATGAAAGCACGAACACAGACAAACCGAGAGGGATGTAGCCGATCCGATACAGTCGTTGTTAAGTGGGCTAACAGGGCCCAGTACAACCCTATGACCTTGTAAATACACACCCAAAAACAACCTGCTCATAAACTACCGCCGCCGCTACGTGAGGCTTCGTGACTAGCGGATGAGCTGGGTAGGTTGGTAGGCAGGTCGCTGAGGCAACGGCTTCTAAAGGCAGCAGCAAGCGAGCGCTGGGTCAGAAACCTCCCCCATCCCTCACCTGATAGCCCGGTTAGATGTTCTCGGTGGGATTCGGTAAACGTTGACTTCAGGTTTGACACAGAGGATCGACTCATATTCGAACTGACCATCAGTCGCCATCTTGACTTTTACTCAGTCGGAGTACGCCGGTGGCGGTGATGGTGACGGTGTGGTGTGTCCGCGCCGCGTTAACGGCTATTTGACCGTAATAGACGGTGTATTTGCGCATAAGCGGGTCCCTCTGCGCCATTGCTACCGACACGTTGCTACATTAAAGGGGTGTTACGCACACATTTTCTACGCTAGATCAAAAGGAACAAATCAAATGATTAATAGCTCTTGGTTGTATTATGGGATTGTTTTCGGTTTAACTTTAAAATTTTGATATTAAGCCTTTGCTGCTTTGATTACGACCTTTGTTTTTCGACTTTATTGCCAGAGTACAGTTTAAATGTGAAAAACTGGAATAGTTTTTAACCATAATCCACAGTTGTGGGTTATGGTAGCTACTACCTACCGGTAGTTAGCTTATCGGCCCAGAATAATTGGTACTATAAAACTATAACATTAATAATGATTACCGTTCGCAATCAATAACACAATCCAGTATCTGATTGTAAAGTATTTTATTTGACTTCGCTACAGATACAGCAAGCAGCAGCTACCCAATGTTACAAGCCTTGCCACAACTTGAAAGCATTTTTTTCTCAGTTTTTCTAATTCTCAGTTTAGCTCTTGTAGTGATGGTCCAACACCAACATATCTTTTTCTCATCAGACTTAATAATAGACTTAATGCTAACTTCAGAGGCAGCCACAGGTTTGTTTTACAGTCCAAGAAGCTTGAAGGCATCTCTTAAATCTTCTGTGTCACAGGGCTGAAAGAGAAAAGGCAGAACAGGACATTATTATCATTCTGAACACATCATTATTTCGATTGGCCTCATCCTGCTTGCCTGAGGGAAAATATGTTGTGTGTTACATGTTATACCTGGAGGATGCGGTTGAGTTTTCTGGCCAGACGTACTGAGTTTCGATGCAGATCTTCCCAGGCCTTAAATTTGCTTTGCTGAGCCACAAAAGTCTGCCAGCAGTAGAAGAAGTCTTAAAACAATCAGCAAAATAAATAATTGTTACTGACATCCAGGAAAGGACTATTTTAGGGAATAGTGCACAACTCTAAAGTCAAATATGTCTCTATTTTTTCTGTTTATCGCCCACATATGCATAAATTCATTCATCCACCTTTGTAACTCATGACTGTGATGTGCACGCCAACTTTTTTAAGCAGCCTGAGACCCTCTCTTTCACGACTGTCCTCCATGTCACAGAAGTAAAGACGAGAGACAAAGATCCTGAGGCGAAGGTTGGGTGTCTGTTTGAGGAACTGGGCCAGTCTGGAAGAGCAGTTTGCACAGGGAGACCAGGAGCAGAACCAGGTGATGGAGTAGCTGACCCTCCTCTCCCCATGAAATCCATACCCAGATAGACCAGGGCATAATGTACTAAGGTGGCGCAGGAACAGCAGCTGCAGAGAAAAATAAGAATAAAATAATCATTATACAGCCTTCATTTGATTTGATTTGATTTGATTGAATCTTTATTTTGAACATGTTGAAAAAGTACAACAAAATAGAATTAAAAGAGACAAATGAACAAAGCAAAACAAAAGGAAAACGAGCAACCACAACTCCAAATAAAGTTCATGTTCAAAAAGGAGCAGGAAGAAGCATTCATTCAATTGCTGTTTTCTCTCTTGCTACTGAGCAGACCCTTTTCATATCTTCTCCCACTTTACCTACCTCTACATGGCAGCCATTGCGATTGCGGAGGTGTCCAAAGTCAAAGGACAAGGAGTCAGGCCCTACTCGTCTTTTTACTACAAAACAGAGGTATGTTTCATGCCGGCCCCTTGCCCAGCGCACATTCTTGTAATGATAGAGGAACTTTTTTCTGGGCAAAAGCATACTGAAATAAAGGGAGAAAACATTAAAGAGCACACTGCAGTAGACACAGCACAGATTTAAAAAAAAACAAGATACATTTTAAAAGCACGCTGTGTTGAATTTATCAGTCAACATTTCAGTGCAAAAGGTGTGGCAGCTTTGTGGTGTCAGAAAGTTTCCATAGTCATTCGCACAATTAATAATTTTACACCACTAAGGTCTGAGACTAATTCTTATTACTACTTAGATGAGTCGCTCATTAATACAAGTTTTATCTCTTAAGTTAGCACAAGTAATACATGCAAAACCTGTGGTTAACCAAACACAAGTGATGGACAGTCAGAAAGCGGCTTACGTTCACTCACAAACCTTTTCTCACTCTCAGTTTCACGACTTTTAGTGAAAGCAGGACAGTTATTCATCACTTGTTAATACTGAAACCCTGATATAACTCACGAGTAAAGGGTGATAATTATTGAAACAGATTTCCAATGACAAATCTTATAATGGCATCAAAAGTATCGTAGCGTGGTAAAAGAACTATAAAAAAACGTTCTTTTTTTTCTTAATTAAATAGTTTCCACGCACAATTTGGTCAAATAGTTGTTGTTTGGAATGATAAATGCAACATATAAATATAATACATCCATTTTGCTCACCTGTCTAGCTTTGCAATCATTTCAAAAGACGCGCTTTGCCACTCGTCGGGCTTGGGTAGCATAAAGGAAGGTAAATGAGAAAGAGTGAAAGTGTGTGTGTGTGTGTGTGTGTGTGTGTGTGTGTGTGTGTGTGTGTGTGTGTATGTGTATGTGTGTGTGTGTGTTGGGGGGTTAAAGGGAGGGAACTGAGAAGATATACCTCTAAACATAAACATCCTGCATACAACACAAGGCAGCATCTGGTTGGACAGAATGATTTTTCAAAGATAATTTGGGGAGGCGTGATACAGAAGAGACGGCTGGATTACACCGTGCTGCTGCTAAGCAATTAAAGTTGTAATTGGATTACTCACTGGCCAAATGTTTTCTTTTTGAATGCTTCGTGGTTCTTATGTTTATTTAAAGAATTTGACATCTGTTTAAACAATGATTAAAGTGAAACCATTCTTTTGGTGAAAGGCAATAAAGGAATTTTATTGGAGGGGGAGATTACACAACGCAGATTTTAAAAAATAATCCGAGTGACCACACATGAGAGGAGCGTTTGACGTGATTTGTAACCTTTGGAGTTTTTACAGACGTCAGTAAATGGAGCCAACTGGATGGAACTTTCCAGACACTTAAGACTCATGCAGTCACAGGCTCTCAACTGTTTGTTTTTGCCATATCATCAAGTAAAAGCTTCAAGATACCGTCTCACCTTGATTTACAGTGCTATTCAGCCTTTTCCACCTAGCTGGTCCCCCCTCCCCACTTCCTCAGGGGCCCCAAGATTTGGTGGAGTTACAGGCGTTCCCAGACGTAACACGTGCTTTGTATTTTCATCTGGGTTTTCCCAAACTGTGTCAGGATGGGAGCAGACCTGTAATCGACCCACCTCGTCCTACGTGCCTGCCGGACTGGCTGGCCAGCTGACCGACCACAGCGTGTGGATAAATCGCACTCACAAGCCTTTGAACCTTCAGATGCTGTCATCGGTTCGGTGCCAAATCAGGATGTGTATTATTTTGCTTCTTTTTTGCTCAGTCTGTTTTAGCTCGGGCCCAGTCTGCTCACTCAGTGGCACTGCATGCAGGCATCCTGCTTTCCCATGACTCCCCTCACCCTCTCATGCACTCTGTGGTTTGGGGAATTCACCGTTTCCCAGGGTGGCTGTTTTTGGCGCTCATCTGTGTGTGTATGTGTGCAAGCATGTGTGTGTTGGCCATCTGTATGAGCATGTCATTAACACAGTCTATATGTTATACATCATCTGGAACAAATTTATCTAATTTATCCTGTGATTGTGTGGTGCCCCCAAATTTAGAGTGATTCATGTGTGTGTGTGTGTGTGTCTACATGCACTGAACAACCTCACATCATATTGCATTACTCTGACAGCGCACTAAGCCTAATGTCTCTGCACATTTGATCTTGAGCGCATGTGTCTTTTCTGGACTTCAAGAGGCTGATCAAATGCCAAACTATATGTAACCACTTCCCAACCACCTCTCTGGGTTTGACCACAGTTGACCAAGGTCATCTCACAGTCACTCATGAACACTCATGCGTGCACTACCACCCCTCCTGTGCACTGTATGCATGTGTGTGTGTGTGCTGGAGTGGTACCGTATGGCCAGACATGCATTTAAACCGTAGTCGAGGATGGGGGGACCGGGTGTAAGAAATGCCAAGTCATACTTTCCGAAACCCACCCGCCCACACCCTGCTCATGCGCGCACAGGCACACACACTCACACAGCCATACCGTGCAGACGCATATGACCACAGTCACAAACAGACTTTCTTTCCAGTGTGTGAACTCACATCTGTTTCCTGACAACAATAATAGCTACAGATCAGGCGGGTAGAGGCCCAGCTTACAGGTGTCTACTGTTTGGCAGTCACGTGGAAACAACCTGATGATGACCGAGAAGTGTCACAAGTAAAGACTACAGCTTTTACAAGGCGAAAATGCCCTGACCACACACTTACTCGTGCATGCTACAACACCGCTGTGTTACTAGGTGTTTCAGCTTTGTCATTTAAGTTAATTAAAGGACGGCGATTTTCCACTATGGCTTGGCTTGCATGATTTAGCAGCAAAGTATAGGCCTATATTTGCCTTCACATCAGGTGTGATATGCCTCCTTCCCACACACATTAACACTGCACAAACATCCTGTGGTGTTTATGTGTGGCAGATTGATGCTATACTGACATCGTCTGAGGTTAGCAGTGGGGTAGACTCGCAATGCAAGCGTGAGGGCTGCTAACCATATTAAGGTTAGCCTCAAGCAGGGGGGTTGTGTGCATTTCCCCACTTAGTCATATAAACTGCCATTCACCTGCAAACCACACACATGCTCAAGTCATAATATCTATGTATAACTTTTACATAGCGTGCTACAATCTCCATACAAATGAAAGCATAACTGATTTTGATTAAATCTTTGTAATAACTCAGTATTTTGGGGATGCAGCTAATAGCTACTTTCTGCAGAATGAATCTACATGTAGTATTTTAGTGATAACGTAAATTTAAATGGAAAAAAACAAAAAATCCTTGCATTTATGATGCTGTGACCCACAATAGCTTCTAATTTTAAAAAAAGATAATACAGTTTCTAGTGTATAAATTAAAATGAATGAAAGTGGAAAATAATGATTTATTTCCTCTTCATTAAGGAAATATAATGTATAATTGAACAAGAACGCATTGTTAAAGCACTATATATTTTATCAATTAACACTAGCATTAAAGAATGCACTCTCTTTGCGATTGATAACTTTACCATCGCCTAAAATATAACATAGAAAACTAAAAGTGGAAGAAAACGTTATTGAGGTTGTGCTGTTTTTGCAGCCTCATCGACCCACAAGCTTTTACGAAGGTGAACAGCGGCAGTCAGGGAGTGCAGAGATAAAAGTAGATAAATTCTGCATATTCACGAAACCGCACATACTTCCTATACAGTAACTGTACAGCCTCCTACACATCTGTTTGGTTTCACACAAAGAAATGCGTGCAGTCTCACACACTCACACACACACGCGCGCACACACACACGCACCTTTTACAGTGTTGATTTTGCTTAAGAAAAGGAACTGCACAAACACAGCTAACAGATATGAAATGTAGTTATTACTTTATTACAAATGCTCAGAGAACAGCACAGCTGAGGCATGATCATGCAATCTTTGAATGATTAAATAAAGAATCCGTTTTTCATCTAAATGAAAATGACGAGATGATAAAAAATAAACTCAAAACAATGAATCCTCGGGATAGCAGCACACTCAATAAATAATCGAATAAATAACACAAAGATTACAAAAATGAAATACTTGAACATGCTGCCGCAGAAATCAGACGCACTTCTTTACCTTTTAAACTGCACGTGTCCATTAAAACTCGATCACAAGTCTTTGTAATACACTTTAGTGAGGGGGTAGCCCAGGAAGCCTCTCTCAGGACTCTCTTGTTTCAGTTCCATATCATCTTCATCACTAGTTTCCACCCCAAGCTGGCGATAACCCAGTTTCCTGAAGAAGGCTTCCCCCAACTTTGAGGGGTAGGGGACGTGTGCATACACTCTGTGTGCCCCTGTGTCCCTCTCTCTCTGCTCCAGGCTTTGGACAAGCAGCCGACCGAGGCCCTCCCTGCGGTACCAGGAGCCTGTCACCAGCCTGCAAATCCTGCTGATGCCCGCTCGTGTCTCGCCCTCCCGGAAGATGCAGCCCAGGATATCTCCCTCACACTCTGCCAGCCAGACCTGCCCTGCTGCCTGCTCCCTCTCTGGAGTGATCTTTTCTGTTGTCGTCTCTTTGTCCTTGTCTTTGGATCCAGCTCGGCGCTTTGGCTGAACAGAAGTAATATTTAGCAACTAGTCTTAAATAAAAACTGCTCCAAAAAAAGTGAATTTAAGCAAGTCAACAGACTAACCTTTTTTGTAAATGGTGTCTTGCCACTGATCCGGCAGTAGGGATTCTGCAGGGTGTCATCCTGTGCCTCTCTGTAGCTGCTACCCACATAGTCCCAGTAGGGCCGGCTGCTGCCCAGGACCCCGGTTGACCGCGGCATGGTGATTTTGAGAAAGACAATTAACAGGAAGACAGGTATAGCAAGGGCCAGGATGAAAGAGTGGACAAGGCAGCGCAGAATTGAGGAAAACACAGCCAGGATGAAAAGGCAGAGTGGGCGAGTGAGGATGTGGAGGATGAGACGATTTTCCGTGCCCTCGCAGCCCTCCTGCAAAGAAATTCATGCACTTTTAAAAAAAATAAAGGGCACTAACCTCAAAAGGATTTGACTTAATACCCAACACGATGAAGCCCAAAGCATTGTCTAAATACAAACCTTGATAAGGGCTTTCACAATTTCGATGTCCTCCTCCTTCATCCTCTTTATCACCACCTGGTCAAGCTCCAGCCTCACCATATTTAGGCTTTTTGCTCAAACAGCTGGCCTGCTCCAACGCTGTCTTACGTTGCAAACTTCAGCATCCACACCGTCTGCACAGGGAGCCTTGAAGAGGAGTGGATGGATAGGAGGATGTAATTCTGGTGAAACGCTTGTGGATGATTTTGTTGGACAGTGAAATACTGGTTAGTGTTTTTTTAAACACATAGAATGACAAACGTGACGTAGTTAAAATAGGTCAATACATTTCAAAACTATGAAATGGACTAGACTTCGCTTCCACTGAGCCAGTAGTTGCATTGTAACAGCACACCCACGCTGGCTCCAAGCAACAAAGGCAGATGGAGATTATGGGGGATTTGCAGCCTGCAGCACCGTTTTTCAGTACTGTATAATTCACATACATCAAGCTTTCGTCTTTACATTTAACAGAGATCATCAAAGGTACACTCGAAAGCGAAAAGACCTGGTTCAAATCCTTATATGGTTATTACGAAGTGCTGCGGTCTCCTGACACATTTAACCCCCAGATTCGCTTACCTTCTGCACAGAGTACCTCAGATCAAGCTGAAAGGTGGGAAACGCGCTCTGTGCGTTTCTGTTGGTTTTTAGCCCGTGTACGTTTGGTACGTTTCACTGAATGACCATCATATGTTTTCTTGCAGAAAGAAGGGAATTATGAATACAAGCTTACTCTATTTTATGCCCGTTATACGCTTTCAATGTGGCTGCCTACGCCATTTGCGTACGTAAAACTTACACTGCGCAACTGTTACGTGAATAGCGAACGCAACGTGACAGCGCTGCGTACGTCTGGTGGCCGCTGTGACGTCAACCAAGTTCCAGTCTGGATGGAGTTACAGTGGCATAGTCGCTGCTGTATGCCACTTTATTAGGTACACCTGTTTAACTGCTTCTTAATGCAAGTATTAAACCAGTCAAGCCCATGGCACCAACTCAATGCATTTAGGTCTGTAGGCATGGCCAAAACTACAGCCAGGCTGGTTTAAGCATTTTGGAAAACTGCTGATCTACTGAGATTTTCTCTCGCACGCACTTAGGGTTTACAGAGAATGGTTTGAAAAAGAGAAAATATCCAGTGCGCGGCACTTGAATGAAAATGCCCTGTTGATGCCAGATATCAGAGAAGCTGACAGGAAGGCAAAAGTCAAATAAACCACTTGTCATGATTGAGGCATGCAGCATGTCTGAATGAACAAGTCAAACCTCGAAGCAGATGTTATACAGCAGCAGAATTCCACACCAGGTGCCACTCCTGTTAGTTAAGAACAGGAAACCGAGGCTACAGTTCACACAGACTCACCAAAACCGGACAATAGATGATTGGAAAAAAGTTGTGTGGTCCGGTGAGTCTTGATTTCTGCTGGAACATTCAGATGAGATGGTATGCAGAGGTTGGTGTAAATAATATGATCTTGTGGAACCCTCCTGCCTTGTATGTACAGTTCAGTCTGGAGGTGGTGGTGTAATGGTGTGGGGTATATTTCGTTTGTATACTTAGTTCTTTAGTAACAAATAAATGGTAAATTATCTGGTTCTTATTAACTCCAAGCAGTCAAAGCATTTTACAACTGCTTGCCTCATTTACCCATTTGCACCCATTCACACAGAGTGTTAGTATCTACCTGAGTATTATTGTTGACCATGTCCATCTACTAAAGACCGATCTTTGTTGTGCGGGAAAATACAACAAAGCTCAAATCGTATCAAACTTTTTTATTCATCAGTGTTATGGATGAGCCTCACGGATCCAGTCCAATCCCAGTAAAGTCACTTTGCCCTCTCAGCTGAATTCTCCTGATACAGTCCAACTATAAGTTACATTGATTCATACTATTTTGTGATAAAAAACTTAAAGACCAAAAGTTATTACAGTGCAACCTCAGTTTAATACACCAAGCGGTGCAAGTCCAAAGCTAGGAAGATTATGATGGATCTCTCCCATCCCAACAATGGACTCTTCTCACTGTTGAGGTCTGGGAAGCGCTTCTGCTCCCTTAAGGCCAAAACAGAGAGAATGAGGAGGAGCTTCTTCCCCCAGGCTATTCGGGGCCTGAACCAGGTGTAGGACTGGACTCTCCCACACACGTCACTATAAGACTGGACTCTCACACACATCACATCACCACACGCACAGCCACACATTTCCTGTAATCCTATAATTCCTATAATTTATAATCTTTATAATCTCTTCTGCTATTTGCACATTCTTTACTGTAAATTCCTAAGTTAATTTGTAAATTTTGTAGTAAACTGTAAATTGTAAATATTGTAAAACTTTTCTTCTGTCATTTAATGGTCGGGCATTGTACAGCTACAAGCATTTCACCCCCATGTCATACTGTGTATGGTTGTGACAAATAAAATTTGAATTTGAATAATTATTCAGTTCAAAGTAGTTTAGTGTAGCAATCCTGGTGCGGATGAGCAGATGATTTATTGCAAGTCATGTTTTGGGAAGTAACTCTCATGTCTCCCTAACACCATAACCAGGTCATTCATCAACGTGTGCTAGTGTTAAAGCATGACACTACTTGAAAATATGGATATTGTGTGTTCACAATCAACTGCCCATTTCTGCAGCTGGAGCATAGCATTTTTAAAAGCAAAAATTTGAAATAGCAAAGTGACTTGAGCCAAATGACCCTCATCAAAGTTGATTGCCCATCACATTTATGTGGACTGTTGCTGACCCTGACAGTGAGTTCAGTGCACTCAAATGGCCCCCAACAGTCACCAGATCTCAATCCAACAGAGCACCTTTGTGGTGGAACAGGAGGTTTACATCATGCATCCGACGAATCTGCAGATGCTATCTGTGATGCATTTTTGTGATGCAAAATCTCTGAGGAATGTTTCCAGCACCTTGTTGAATCTGTGCCACAAAGATTTAAGGCTGTGCTGAAGTCAAAAGAGAGTCTAACTCAGTACTTGCAAGGTATATCTAAGAAATAGTCGTGTGAGTGTATAATCAAAGGCTATTTGTGGTGCTGCGATGTGGGCTTTTACTATTACTTTAAAAAAAAAAGGGTTGCTCTTATTAATTTTATGCCTTTAGTGGTGGCATGCAGTCCATGAACTGAAATGAATTTGACACCTGACCAGTCATCCTGCCTTGTGGCTTGTATGTACCTCAGAAATGGACGTGCTTAACTCTGGATGTATCCCTGAACTGAAACTAAACAGCAGGTGAAATACAACTAAACAATATTAACACACTCTTTGTTCAACATTTTGTTTGTTGGGATGTGGACACCCTACCTACAAGTAGTAAAAATAATTAAAAATCCAAATGACAAAAGGTATTAACAGATTTATTAATTATTAGTTACTATTAACATTGTGAAGAAAGTAGGCAATATACAACATTTATTCACAAAAAACATATTTACTTAATAAAACTGCCAACGACAGTATCATTTAAACTAATCTTTAGGAATATTCTGAGGTCCATGTACAGCCTATTTAAATGTATAACATTTGGCATGGCATTACAACACAGTACTCATCTAACTGCATGTCCTCGCTCACTTGCATGAGAACTCAACTGACTATAAAGTGCTAACAAACAGCCCACAAAAAGTGAGGCATTTACTCATACATACGCTTTATTCGTCTCTAACATGCACACCGTTCTCAGTTAGAGAACTGCACCTCTTTAGGTTTAGAGCTAGGTCCATTCAGTGCGTCTTCCTCTGAGCTGACTGCAGAGTTCACTTCCTTTGTAGACTTTTCCTTGGCCTCTGCTGTTACACCTTCATATTTCACCTCGCTACTTTGTGGGATCTCCCCGTCCCCTTCTCTCTCCATTCCCCCTTCTCTTAAGCTGCTGGTGCTGACTTCAATTATTACAATTTCATCTCCACTTTCCAGCTGAAAGATACTTTCCATTCCTCCTCCACCCTCAGTAACTGTGCCACTTCCAGTACTGCAACCTCGGCCCTCCTCTCCTATCATTCCTCCTTCACCTTCTATCAGGGCTATCATCTGCATGCCTTCCTCAGTTTCCTGTTCCAGCTTGGTCTCGCCCCCCAGCTCAAACACCACCTCCTGCCCATTAAGGGGTACTAAGCCTTGGGTAGATGTGCACGAAAGCTGCAGGCTGTTGTCCTGCCCTTGGCTGAAGGTAGCACTGGTTGAACCATTATCCTGTGTGTCAGTGTGGAAATGAAGGACATACGACTCCCCCTGGCTGCCATCCCCTCCCGATTGTCTCCCATCCTGCTTTTCTCCACTCCATTCTTGCAGGAGTGACATCATCCCTCCCTTATCTACCCCTTTTTCCTCTTCACCTGGCACATCTGTCTTGAACTGCAGCACGAGTGACTTTCCCTCTCCACCCATTCCTTCATCGATTGCCTCCCCAGATGAATTCCCTTCAAACTGCAGCACGTATGACTCCCCGGCCTCCCCGATATTCATCCCCTCCTTTGCCTGTTCTTCATTATCAAAACACAACACAAACTCTTTCCCTGACAAAGTTTCCCCAGTCCTCATTTGCTCCACAGTGGAATGAGGTTTCCTTTCTGCAGGGACAGGAGCAGAATCTGATGCTGCAGCTACTGTGGTGGCTGGTGTAACCATGGTAACAGTCGGCAAGGGTCCTGAGGTATCCGCTATGGGGGCTACAGTGGCAGGGGATGACAGAGTCGGGGTAATGGTGTCAGATGTTGTGGGTAGAGAAGATGAGTTTGTGGTAGTATTAGCAGCAGTAACAGTCTGGGTGCCACTGGTCACATTAGAGTTTGTTACTGCAGCAGCTCCGCCTGCAGTGTGACTGACTGGGGTTGGGGCCGATTTCAGAAGTGTAGCTTTTGGTTTGCGCCCCCGTCTGCCTCGTGCAGTCCGTGTGCTCTTCCCCAGTATCGGCTTCGTAAGTAGGGAGCTGGCTGAGAGGTTGTGCATTGGTGTGGCAACTGGAGTGTGTGCATTGTTACTGTTGTTAGTAATTATGATTTGTTGTTGCTGTGATACAGATGGAAACTGGGGTATCTGAGTCTGGTTTTGGTTAAGCACAGGCTGGAATGCTTGGATAGTCTGAAGCATGGGGAGGGACTGAGGCTCTGGAGCTGGTGGAGGGTTGTTTGCTGTGGGGAGGAGAATCAGGCTGGACTGGCTGCCGTTGTTGGAGGGGCACTGCAAGAGGAGGAAGTTTTGAGGCTGGGATGGTTGCGGTGGTGGCGGAGGAGGTGGTGGCTGGACTGGCGTAGGCGTTGACAGAGGAATGAGCTGCAGGCCGCTTGCTGTCTGTATCATGAAGTAGTTCTGGGAGGTGTTGGGGGGAATATTAAGTGCTGGTTGGGATACAATCAGACTGCCATTGTTTCCTGAGGCTTCCAGGGTGATGGGGTTCAGCAGGGTTGTTGTGGTGGTTACTCCTCCAACACTGGCTTTCACAGCCACGCCGTCTTTACCTCCACCACCTGGGCATGGCAGGGAAACGCCAGTGCCGTGGGTGCGGATATGCCTCTGCAAGTAGGAGTGCATGACAAACTCCTTCGAGCAGTAGGGGCATTTATAGTCCTTGCGTGAGGAGTGTGTGCGAAGGTGGAGTTGAAGGTTGGAGGAATGAGTAAAACTCTTACTGCAGTGGGTGCACTGAAAAGGTCTCTCGCCTGAATGCGTGCGTTCATGCTGCTCTCAGAAAAATGGTAATCAAAAAAAAGAAAAGAAAAGAAGTTATGAAATCAGTTGATAAAACTGAACATTTTATAACATGA